TTCCAGAGGCACAATTCCTTATAGAACATAAAGTCCGGGGAGTTCTCCGAGACGACTTTAGCAGCAGCTCAGAGGAGCACTGAGGGCTTGAAATGCCTCCATATAGGAGCTGTCTCTTATACACATCTAGATGTGTATAAGAGACAGGGGCGAGGCTGGAGCCCCCTCCGCGCCTCTAAGACAAAGGCAGCGGTGGCTGCAGCCCGAGCCTAGCACTCCGGCAGCGTCGCGCCGCGCCCTGGGCGCACGGCCGCCTCACCCCGAGCGGGTCGGAGAAAGAGCCTCCCTCCCAGCAGCTCCCCGGCCCCTGCTCCACCCGCGAGGTCTGGGCTGCTGCGAGCCCGAGCTGGGTTTCGCTTTCCGACGATCATAAATAGCTTGGTGTTTGTAAACAGGCGCCGGGGGCACATTCCCCGCGCTCAGCTCATTGTTCCCTCCCTTCCTCTCTACTTCGCGCTGGACGCCTAGGCTGAGGCTGGGAGCCGCCAGGGCTAGGAGGTGGAGGAGTCCAGACCCAAAGTGACAAAATGCTAGCATTTTCTTTTCCCCAGGCGGGCGTCCACCTCTAACAGCAAAGAAACCTCTAAGCTGGGTCTGCAGAAAGCCCGAGCCACCTCCACCCCACGTTCTCAGGACTCCTTAACAGAGGTTTTCCCAGCCCGGCTTCTCCCTCCTCCTTCTGCTCCAAGCTCCCGGTTTGACTTTTCTCCTTGCAGTGTTTAGTTCTGAGAATTCAGTACTTTGCGCATCACCCCCTGCCCCGAAAAACACTGGCCGACCCCAGTAATTTCGAGGAAAGTCATGAAGTCCATGCGCGGAGCCCCGTGCAAAATAACTCCCGCTGCTGCCTGCCCGGCGTTGATTCCCAATTTATTTCAAGAGAGTCGGCTTTGGGGAGAGAGTCTGCAGGGGGAGGGAAAGAAAAGAATACTGAAAATAAAGCCGGCGGCCGCGGGCTACTGCCTGCGTTTGTGTGCGTGTGCCCTGGGTGTGTGGTGTTTGTGCCTGGGCGTGCGATTTAATGGAGCGCCTCTCTGCCTCTCCAGTGCGGCCAGAGCTCGCTTCGCGCACCCACCCCTGCCGAGGAGCCTACTTGCTGCAGCCCAATGCATTGTGTAAGACGCGACCTGTTATGGCCACCACTACTTCCGGGTTCTAGCATTCTGGTCGGAATCCACCTCTCCGCCTGTGCAACACACACTTTACACACGCACGGGGACTGCAAGCGGGCAGCATCGATCGTGGCTCCTTTAAGACAAACTCAGACAGACATTTTTTTTAACCCTCCTCCTCTAATCTCCCTCCAGTGCAGCACTTGCAAAGAGAGGGGGAGAGAGAGAGAGAGAGAGAAAGAAAGAGAGAGAAGAGAGAAACTGATTAGGAATTAGGACTGATTCAAGGGAAGCGAGCGCTAGGGCTTTGTGCATTTGAATATTAACATTTGAGGTGTTCTGACCAGAAGAAGACAGAGCGGATGATCATTCATTCACCACGTTGACAACCTCGCCTGTGATTGACAGCTGGAGTGGCAGAAAGCCATGAGATTTGGTAGTTGGGTCTGAGGGGCGCTCTTTTTTTTTCTTTTTTAAACTGATTTTTGGGGGAGAGAAGATCTGCTTTTCTTTTTTTTTCTTTTTTTTTTCTTTTTTTTTTTTTGCCCCCGCTGCTGTCTTGGAAACGGAGCGCTTTTATGCTCAGTGACTCGGGCGCTTTGCTTCAGGTCCCGTAGACCGAAGATCTGGGACCAGTAGCTCACGTTGCTGGAGACGTTAAGGGATTTTTCGTCGTGCTTCTTCTTCTTCTTTTTTTTTTTTTTTCCGGGGGAGTTTGAATATTTGTTTCTTTTCACACTGGCCTTAAAGAGGATATATTAGAAGTTGAAGTAGGAAGGGAGCCAGAGAGGCCGATGGCGCAAAGGGTACGTATTAAAAAACAATTGTGGAACTCAAATGTGAGATTAAATTGAAACGTGGCCGAAAGACACTGCTAAAAAGTTTCCTTTTTTCTCTCTCTCTTTTAAAAAATGAGGCTCCTAAAGCAGTGGCCTAAAGCGAGAGGATTTATTCAATGCATTTGTAGACTTATGTATGTTACTTGGAGTTGTTAATTAAAGAAATCAATTTATCTATAGATTCCTAACCAGCAGCTATATAAATAAAAATGCAAGCTCAAACAATCATCTTTTTTTTTTAAAACTAGATACCTAATGCTGTAATTTGAACATTCAGAGATCAGAAGTTTAAAGTTATGTTTAAACTAAAATATGCAGCTGGAAACTTCTGATATGTTATTGATTATGCTCATCTTTAATATCACTAGAAGTATTTAGCTTTTTAAAGGAAATAACTGTCATAGTATAGCCAATTTTTTGGTCAGAAAACATTCATCTTTTTATAGTAATTTCAATTTGTATAGATTTGTATACAAGGCAATATTTTGCAAGTTTCTCTTAGATAAGCCCTGTACTAATTGAATACTAAGCACACAGTTACTCACTTTAAAAATGCAATACTAATTTCCCCATATTTCTTTTTCAATGGAAATGCAGTGAGAGTAAAGTGAGACAATGACAACCCAACTGAGGTAGTTTCTTAAAAGAAAGGGGGTCTACAAAAAGCCTTCCTTGCATAATTTGTGTCCTGGCCCTCAAAGCCCTGTTTGCAAAAGAAAGTTACTAGGCTGACACATTTTTCTTTACTCCCTTGGTTCAGGCAAATGTCAGCGTTCTTCCAAACTCTTTTCACACCTCTGGCTTTAAGGAGATGAAAGTGGCAATTCCTCCTTTCTTTGAAAATCATTTCACTCTCAGCGCCTCCAAATCTTGGGAAAATAACTTGCCTGGAATGAACCAATTAGAAAAGTCTAAATAGCTAAATTTCACACACAAAAAATAATGACAAGCAATATGAAAGTAGTTTTTTGTTTTTTGTTTTTTTTTGTTTTTTTTTTCTGGAAGAGGAAGATGGGAGGTTCTCTGTGCATTTGCTTTTGAATTTGCTTTAAACCTGGTGAGTAACATTTGCCTCCTTGACTTCTAGTCTGGAAAGAAAGTTCATAAGAGTAAACAAGAAAATAGAATATTAGCTGCTTCAACTATAGATTTTTCTTTAACTTTGGGGGTGGGGAATTGCCCAATTCTAAATTCAGCTCTAATGTTCAGGAAAAGCTACCCTTCTTTGAGTTTCACTTATAAGGGGTCAGTTAGTTTTGTATAATTAGCAGAGTTTGTCTTGGAAAGCAAAAGAAATGCAGTGTCTTGCAGGACTGGCTAACCTCACGCCGGCAGGGAAATAAAATGAGAAGCCTGTCTAAATTCACGTGCTTGGCGTAGCTGTTCCCATCATAACTTTTTTTTTTTTTTTTTTTAATTCCCCCTGATGTGAAGGGGCTGTGAAACTAGGCGGGTTTGCTGCAGTGTCCTGGCACGTTTTATTATTGTGATTTTGAATTTCTTCCTCCAGAGACATGCCCGTTTCACCTTCCACCCTCCGGAGAATGCTCTTTCTCTCCTTCTTTCTTCTTTCCTTCTTGCCAAAGGAGCCTGAATTTCTGAACTAGTTGATAGGGACACAAGTTAGGGCAAGATCATTCATCCCAGATGAGTCTCGCTGAGAATTCTATAATTTTTACTTAAAGCCTTAATTTTAAAATAAGAAAACTCAGCTTTAGAGATGAAAGGCCACCGAATTCCGGGTGGAAGGATCCAGCTGGACTAGCCTTATATAAGCTCGGTGGTGCCTTGCCGTTCTCCCATTTGCCCGCCTGGCCTCCTGAACCTTCTTTTTCTCCTGTTTGTCATGCAGTACGACGATCTACCCCATTACGGGGGCATGGATGGAGTAGGCATCCCCTCCACGATGTATGGGGACCCGCATGCAGCCAGGTCCATGCAGCCGGTCCACCACCTGAACCACGGGCCTCCTCTGCACTCGCATCAGTACCCGCACACAGCTCACACCAACGCCATGGCCCCCAGCATGGGCTCCTCTGTCAATGACGCTTTAAAGAGAGATAAAGATGCCATTTATGGGTAGGTACAATGGGCAGCAGGTTAACTAGTTGAGACTCAATGCTTCCCTCTTTCCCTGTGCCCTTGGTGAGAGGAAAGTCAGAGTTCTCTGGATTGGAGCTACTCTACATCTTTGGTGACTTTTCATTCACATTGCATGGAGAATTTGGGGAGGTGACCTGCCATCCCCGAAGCCCTACATCTCCATACACACTGTGTGCACATTCAGTGCCCTGCTCCACCATGGCAGTGCCCGCAAGGGGGTCCCAGATCAGAAGAAGCTGGCTAAAGGGCCCTTGTCCCCTCTCACACTCCCTCAGAGGGCTGGAGTCCTTCCTCGCTCGATTTCGCCCGAGAGCGTTAGGGGTTTCTAAATGTAGGCGCCTTTGTGTTGGAACGAAACTTTTAGTTTAAGGGAAAATCTCTTTTAAGCCACTGATTGTTCTGACTTGCTAAGTTTACTCAGCAGCCTTATGCTGGCTCTGCCACTGCACAATAAAACCAAGGCAGGACAGTTGCAGGTCAAGCAAGGGGGAACATGTTTTGCATTTAGGGAGTTTGACCACTGAAGTCAAGGAGAGGAGCTTGCTCTGAATTGTTACACACATTAAGAAACTTCTAGATGTTTTAGCACTTTGTGCTCAAATGTGAAACCTGCAGGATTTAGAAATAAGTAAATTCGGGGCGCTCTTCCTCTGAGGTTGTTTTCTGGCCGCGGTTTACAATGTTTTCTCCTCCGCCATTCGATTAGACCCTGGACTAGTAGAATCCTTTGAAACTCACTTGTGCCTACTGTGTGCCGATGAATTTGGGAACCTCGTTTTACTTTGCAGAAACTTTTATTTCTATTTATTTATTAAAAAAAAATCAGAACCCACTGACCCTCCGTGGCAAAAGAATATATATATACTCTTTTTGCTTTATTTTCTGATCCCTTGTGCGATGGGCTTGTTTAAATCCCACCGTTCTGTCCGCAGCGTTAACTACAAGTGGTTTAGGCTCTGGGACCGAACATTTGGGGAAGCTTTGTAAAGGACCCCAAACTGTTAAATTCCCAGCTGAGCAGTGAGAGCTAATAAAAGACTTGAGATACCTCCTTGAGCATTAGAAGAAGCTTTTCTTTCTTCCTTTCTTCTTCTTCTTTTTCTTTCTTTTTTATGGGCTGAGACAAGCGACATCTAGGCCCCTCGCATTACTAGCTGCTTTGCCACTTCGCAGAGACAAAATGAAAAGCTGTACCGCAGGAACATTTGAAGGAACTTTCTTTGGGGGGCGGTGGGGGCCGTCCGCGAAGGGAGGGGAGTGTGTGAGGAGCTGAGGAGGAGCCTCCCGGCTCTCCGAGGGTCTTGGGGTTGGGATCCCTAGGTGCAGCCCGTTGACAGTCGGCCCCACGGCCATGGACGTCCTTTCCCCAAGTTAGCTGAGCGCCTGCACCGAGATCCCCCGAGCCTGGGCTTCGCGCGGCCGCCTAGGAGGAACCCGCAGGAACCAGCCCTCCCCACCCCTCCGCCCGGCGCCTTTCTCCTCCACCAGATCCTGGATGTGCAGTGGAGGGGACGAGGGCTTGTCGGGTGGGAAACTTAATTCAAAATGGCTGCTGGAAACGCTTGGGTTTTATTCGTAGCAAATGTTGCCAATTTCTCCGGCCAGATACGCTAAACCGATCCTCAGATACCGTCCATGGCTCAGGGCCTCCGACTTCAGGGCTCCAGGAGGAAGGGGAGGTGAGCGGTCACCTGGGTCGGGGGGCGGGGGCGGGGAGGAAAAGGAAAAAAGTAGATGACACAATCCGAGAGGGGGTCTGTTCCTCTTGCTCCTCCGGCTGTTTTTCTTGGGCACCTTTTTCCATTGACTGGGGACTAACCATTATGTTGTTTGTGACTGTTGTATTTTCTTGCAGACACCCCCTCTTCCCTCTCTTAGCACTGATTTTTGAGAAATGTGAATTAGCTACTTGTACCCCCCGCGAGCCAGGGGTGGCGGGCGGGGACGTCTGCTCGTCAGAGTCTTTCAATGAAGATATAGCCGTGTTCGCCAAACAGGTCAGCAAAATAAATGTTAAAAAGTAAAAGAAACAAAAGGAGAGCCCCCCCTTCCCCAACACACAAACGCGCGCGCGCACACACACACACACACACACACACAGACACACACACGGCACACTTTCAAAAGTAGCCAGCACATAGTCGGCCCTAAGCCATAAGTGTTACCTCCAACCTCAGATTTTCTTTCTGTCTGAGTGTCTGTTTGCAGATAACTTAAAATCACCCATCTGCATCCCCACTCACCCTCCAGAAAGCAACCGTGGAGAGCTCACTGCAGAATAAAATCTAGAACACCACGGTTGTAGCTGCTGTGGACTTGGCGGGCTGAGCAGCCTCCCTGAGAATCGTAGTTGCTAGTAGAAGTAAGACTGAGCTCTGGGCTTGTTTTCAGCTTAATTCACACTGAAATGTTTCTGCGCGGGACGAACTCGGTGTCACCGGGTCCCTCCCGGAGGGTTACATCCTGCCCCCAACAGGGTAATGAGGCAAGAAATTAGGAAGGCGACCAGATTTCAAATTTTTCTTTCTTTTTTCTCTCCCCTCCCTCTCCCCTCTCCTTCTCACTTGTATTTAGATTCGCGCAGAAAAACCTCTATTTTCTTCTAATCCAGAACTGGATAACTTGGTAAGAGCGGACCCCTATCCCCCCGCCCCCATCCCCCACCTCCCACCTCCAGCGCCCTCAGCTTTGCTTTGAGAGCCCTGAGATTTCTAGACCGGTCTTTCCGTGCCTGCAGGTTGGCTGCAAATGTTTCTGTCCACGGACAACTGGTCCGGGACAAGATCCCGGGGAAATAAATTCATCTCGAGAGGGGCCGGGCGAGCCGGCGCTGGGAAACGCGAGCTTTTGTTTTTTATGACAGCCGGGCTGCGCAGCTCTAATCAGCGCGGGGATTTATCTCCCGGCCTGTCAGCGTGTGTGCTTAAACTTTGCGGACTTCCCAGCCCTCTAAGTCCCATCACGAGGGCAGCCACCGGGCCAGAGCCCCTAAACAACCAGTTTGCCTGAAAGGTGTAAGGAAGGCAGCAGAAACTTTGCAATGGGAAAAGCCACAGTTTGAGGGCCATTTGAAATATTTTTCTGTCCAGTCCTTCCAAGGACACATTTAGTCCAGTGTTGTGGCCCTTTTGGGGTGGGGTGGGACCAGTGGCACTGAGAAAGGGGAGAGCCATGGGGGAGGAGAGTGTTTATGAGCCCCACTTAGATGCTCTGTTGTTGTTTTAGCTATTTTTTTCTCCTTAAGAAATATAAACCTCTAGATGGTACCCAGTTGCTGCTATTAAGTTTTAGTGTTATTGCCATAAATCAAAATAACTCTATTTACTTGTGGGAGGGGGTGGGCTGGAGATGGTAGAGCTGTGACAGCCAGTTTTCTGCAAGCAGGAATGGGGTGCTTATTGTTTTTGTATCTTTGCAGATGATTCAAGCCATACAAGTATTAAGGTTTCATCTGTTGGAATTAGAGAAGGTAATTTCTCTAGCCTCTTTTCCTTTTACTTACCCCTTACCCCGAAACACACAGAGGGGGAGGGTTCAGAATGGCTGAAGTTCAGCCTTCTGATACATTTGCATAAATGTCTTTCTTTCTGGTAATTAGTGTCACGGCCAATCTTAGCGTCCATTTCTCTTCGCAGTTTAATTACAATTTCAGCCACTAAAACCGGGATCACAAACGCCCTAGCCTTGTGTTCATTCTTAATAACTTGCTGGCTTTGTGTAAATAGTTGCAATTCTGTGCATCCCAGCTGATGTTTAGAATGCTGCTCTGAGGTGGTTTCACAGGTTAATACCTCTGTTGTCTCTTCTCATCCTCTTCCTCCTCTTCTTTGCTACCTCTGAGGGAGAAAAAAGTTTTGTTCAGTTGTGAGTTTCTGGAAGACAGTCCTGAGGGCAGCGGCAGATCAGACACAGGGGAGAGGCAGAAGGGGAGAAGGAGGAGGAGCGGGAAGGAGTCTGGAGGAGGTGGTGGGGAGGCACATTAAACGTTTTGCAGAGACAAAGCAGAGTTGATAGTTGTGTCAATTTCTTGAATCTGTGAATCCTGCACACACCCCACTTTCACACTCAGGAAAGGGTGTGGGATAGCATGATTTTGCTAGCTGTTCTATAAATCTCAGCAATAAAAACTTAATGCATTGTAATTCAAACTAACATTAAATTGCAAGCACACTGGGGTTTCTTGTGAATTTTTGCATGTCACTGATGCCTGGGGCCTGTAGGAAACCTCCGCACTTACACCTAAATATTTTGAGGCATTCCTTCTCCTTTTTGTAAAAAGAAAGAAAAATCAATTTTATTTGTTTTTGTGGCTGTATGTTTTCTTATATCAGGAGTACTGGCAACTTGATTTCCTTCCATTTTTTTTTTTTTAAAAGAAAGTGTTCTAAAATATGACCCTTAGAGATAAAAACCTTTATTACAAATATAATAAGGACTTGGGTTGTCAGGCATGTATTCTATGCCACCACAGTACAGGTTCTTTGGAGAATATATATGTGCATATATACACAGATATACATTTTTTCCTTAGACACATTGGAAAGGAATTTATGATAAAGTCACTGGATGAAATTAAATAGTTTACCTTAAATGTCACCTACGCAGGTCACCTCTCTAATGACCACAGCCCCAGGAGCAGATGAATTTAACACGGGTGTTGAATATGTTGTAGCCTGTGAATCATCTTGTCACTGTCAATTTTCTGGGATATCTCTATTTTGCAAGAAAAGAAAGTTATTCCTAATTCTGGATGCATCTGGGGGTCTCTGGAGGACAATTGCCCTGTGTTTCCCCTATTTGGAAGTTTGGATCTCACAAGGGGGGTGGATTGCACTTGTCAATGTCATTTATGCACTCCTGATTATATTCCCATTTTTTTATTTCTGTCATAATGTAGGTACACGAATTATGTGACAATTTCTGCCACCGGTATATTAGCTGTTTGAAAGGGAAAATGCCTATCGATTTGGTGATAGACGATAGAGAAGGAGGATCAAAATCAGACAGTGAAGATATAACAAGATCAGCAAATCTAACCGACCAGGTACGCGCTTTTCAATTTCAACATCCCTGGGAAAAAAAAAAATCTGTATGCATATTGCTTGCTGGGTCACTACCACCTCCTTTTATTATTTGCATATGATTAAGTCCCTTTTAGATACATTTCCATCGAAATGAAAATTTTTGAATAATGTGGCTATTATTGCTTCATTAAGGCTGGCTCTGGGATTCGACCTGGAGAGATGAGCTTGTAAAAGCTTTGCTAGCAAACTTGACCTGTTTCTTGTCGCTTTTAATTTTTGTCTTTATTTTATTTACCCTCTATAATAATGGGAGTGTTAACTGCCAGTGACCGCCTCTGATTGTAGGGGCTTTGTTCTGGAGCATTTTCCCCCCTTCTATCTTCAAGAAAAGAAAAGTGTAGGGTCTGCTTATTTCTTATTTTATTAGGAATAAATCCAAGATAGGTGGTCTAAGAGAGACAGCGAGGGTTTGAAATCTAGCAAATGCTGGCTATTTTCTCCCTGTCTGTACGGTTCATTAGCCTGTCTTGTCAGTTTTCCTCGGCCGAACGCTTCTAGACCTCACTGAACATTGCTTTGTGTGGTGTTCACTGCAAGCTCGCCCATTTTATTGTACTTAATAGAAAAAATAAGACCAGGCCGAGGTTATAAAAACAGATAAATATGGACTTTTCCCCTCCTTCTTTCCACTCATCCTCCAGCTGGTATGTGCTCTGGGCCCTCTGGGTTGGCAGCTTGTGGACATGTCAGCATCAGGGGAACCCCGGCGGCTCCCTGGGTAAGGAGGGTGGGGGAACTCGCACCGCCTTTGCTCTCAACTGAGGGTTGGCTTGCTGCGCTCCCTCCTCTCCTGTCCTCCCTCCAGGCCCTTCTTCCCATGCGTTACTAAGTAGGGACGACTTTTATTTGGAGTTGCTGAGGGGATTTCTCTCTCTGTGTCACCCCAACACCACTGTTTGCTCCCAGGGTGCCTTTCTCTCTCCTGTGGCTGTATCTCTGGATTGGTCCAAAGGAGTTGCAAAAATGCAATGAAAGTGAAAACGTGTGGAGTGAGTGAGATGAAACAGGGCTCAGAACAGTTCTGTTGCGAATTGTTGCAAGGCGTCTGGAGATTTGGGTAGCTGGCCTGCTCTGCACCCTCCCAACCTTCCCCCCTGTATAAGTGAAGGCCCAGAGTTGTTTCTCTTTCTGACTCGGCACGTGAGTCCAGACTTGGGGGAAGAGATCAGCCTGCCTTTGTTAAGCCAAAGGCCAGCTACTCTGCAAGCTCTGCCATGATCTCTGTTGGCCAGTGGCTGTCTTGTACAGTCCTTGTCGGAGTGCCTGACACCTGGTTCTTAGTGTCATCTTATGGTTTTCTTCTCTCAACATCATCCTCTTAAAATACATTCTCAGCTTGATTTTCTCTGGGCAACCCCCGCGACACAGGCTGAATTCCTCTTTTGCCCATGGGGAGCGGGAAACAGGCAGAGCAGAGATTTAAAAGTGCCAATGTGCCGGGTCCGCACTGTGATCTGGAGAGTTGGAAACTTTCGGCAGTGTAGACGAGTGCACAGAACACGCAGCGTGCGCAATCCCGGTGCGGCCCCACAGAGGTGGGAAAACTGTAGGCGGCTCCCAGCCTTGGCCCCCGCGGGCTGCCCGGGCCTCAAGTCTGGTTCAACCCGCCAGCCTTCGCCGGGGAGCTGTTGAGTGCAGATTCTGCTGAGGAACCCTCGAGTAGCTGCTGTGGAATAAAAATTGCAATCCAACAAGCCTAACTAGAAAATGGGATTCTAAAAGCTCCGGAGTGCTGGGTACATAAAGCTATTTGAGCAAATTACAAGAATCGCTTAGGGGCATGAATGAAATCAACACTTTAATTGCCTCCAAAATGAAGATTTATACCCCATTTTCTCAAGGAATCATTATTTTATTAAAGTCAAAGATAAAAGAACAAAGTTATGGGGATTTTTTGGAGGGGGGAGAGAGAATACAAAAATTAATATATTATCATGGATCTCCCCCCTTCTCCTTCCCTAAACTTTTGTTACCCAATTCCCTTAACTTAAGATATGCAAAGATTGGTATGCAATTGTATTGGATAAAAATTCGCATTTTATTCTCTTCTACCTCTAAAATGAGAATCTGATTTCTGGTCCCCGCTGGTTAAGAGTGGGCTTCGACGCTTTGGCTGAGCTCGTGGCGCTGTTGGCCTTTGCGCGTGGGCTTGCTTGTGTGGCCCCCTGGGGCTCACCCAGGTTTCAGCTGGTCGGAGAACAGCAAACTCAAGGTCAGGTTTGGAGAGGGGAGCGCAAAGCGCTGGGCGCATGTGGTACAGTGCCATGGACGCCGGTGGGCTCCACTGCCCTGGGGAGCTGAGGCGCGACGAGTGAAGCACCAGGGCGCCTGGTGGGCGCCAGTTCTCCGGACTGGAGCCTGCTGGCCTGTCCCTCCGGGCCGCTGAACCCCTAGTGCGGCGTCCTGGGGGCCAGGCAGGAAGGATGGCCTCTCCACCTGTCTGCGAATGCAGCCCAGCCAGTTTGAGCCTCCGCAGAGGGTGCGCTCCGGGACTGGACGCTTCTCGTGCTGTGAGAACGCTGGGCCTTGTTAGCTCATTAACCCCTCTGTCTCTAGGGCCCGTTGGCGGCACAATTTATTTTATTTTACTTTTTTTCCTCGGAGGGCGCGAAGACTGCCACCAGCGCGGGGACCTGGGATCAATGACTTTGATACTAGGCGGTATCTCGGAGGGCTAAGTCGGCGGAAATCCACTTGGCCTTGTAGCGCTAGTTCAGTCCTTTTCCTTCCTTCCTTCCTTCCTTCCTTCCTTCCTTCCTTCCTTCCTTCCTTCCTTCCTTCCTTCCTTCCTTCCTTCCTTCCTTCCTTCCTTCCTCCCTTCCTCCCTTCCTCCCTTCCTCTCTTCCTCCCTTCCTCTTTCTTTCTTGCTCTCTCGCTCTCTCGCTCTTTTTTCTTTCTTTTCTTTCTTCTCTCTTTCCTATTTATTTATTTTTAAAATAGGATTAAGACACCAGTAGAAGCTGTAATCCCGTTCTTCCCCACACTCAGGTTCCTTCCCCCACCCCCAATCTTGGGGCTGCCTGGAGGTCCCTGCCAGAGAGAGCTACCTTGGCGGGCGCGAGCCTCCTGGGCGCCCTCTCCTGACCGCCGCGGTCTAGGCTCGGCTTGGATGTTCCGAGCTCCCCGAGGCTGGGGGAAGCGAGGGGCGCCAGGGGCTTCCCGGCCTCAGCGTGGGGCGAGGTCCCGGCTGCGACCCCGGAGCAGAGGGAGAGGGGGGCCATGGTGCTAGGCGTCGAGGCGAGGGTTGAACCTGCTTGATTTCAGAGAACGATGCGGGTTCGACCGGAGGCGCGTTCTAGGGGCCCTTGGGTGGATTTGGGGGCGCCAAGAGGGGTTAGGCGGGGAGAGGCCTGGCCATCCAGTTGCTAGACTTTAGGCCGCGCTCCAGGAAGGAGCAGTCGACTTCCTAGGCCGCTTCTGTTGCGCGCCACTTCTTGAATCTAAGCATTTTCCACTCCAAGAACGCGTTGGGAGAGAGGGGAGAGCGGAGCAGAGTCTCTGGGCCCCCAGGGCCGCCTCCCGGGGTGGCCACGCCTGCCGGTAGCGAGCCGAGATTAGCTAGGTCTGTGCTTCGGCCTCAGCGGTGGCCCTGGCTCTTCCCACAAGCAGCGGGAGGCAGAGAAATGGTCCCTTTGGATTACAGTTTTTATTCAACAGCAGCTCTCCGGGGGGTCCTCGTCTGAATCTGCATTTAGCAGCTCCGGGGCGAAGGCTGTCGGGTTACCCAGGGCGCCCTGTTGCATGTTAATCCAGATATGTCTCTGACGTCTGGGGAGAAGTAATATGGCTTGCAGATATGGAACCAGAGAACCACGCTCGCCAGGCAGGTTAAATGCCAAGTGCTGCCGAGCTCCCGGGGGACGGCCGCCAGGGCTGTGCAGCCGAGACTGGAGAGCGCAGGGCCGCCAGGCCTCTGGGATCTGGGGCGGCCGGGTCCAGTGCGCTTTGGTTCCCAAGTGGGCTTGGGAACTCTGATGGCGATTGTTTTGTTTCAAAAGTTCACAATGTTGTTTCTGAAGCAGAGTTTGGCTTAAAATCCTTTGAACTGAGGTGGAACTTGACAGAAAACGCCCCCCTCCGAAGAAGCGGGGGAGATTTTTGCAAGGGAGATTTAAGCTTTGCCTTTAGGGGAGGTGTCACAGTCAGGGATGGGGCTGGGAGGGCAAGAAGCAACCTAATGTCCTGCATGGATTGGATCTGCTGCTTTAGAGGCAAATAGATAGGGCCAGCGAATATTTACTAATACTAAAAATGTCTGCAATTCCTTGTCATCCAATAAGAAAAGTGTACACAAACAGTGGGAGGCAGAAAAATGGTCCCTTTGTCAGGTAGTTTGTTTTTAAATGCTTCCATTTGGATACATCTTATTTAAATTGTAAATGCTTCGTAGCTTCCCACTTAATGCCTTAATCCTGAAACCTCTCAGTCCACAGGACTTGCAAGTGATAAAGTCTTAGCATCACCTAACTTTACATTTGATTGTGTTGTGGGTCATGTGACATAGTCTTAATTCCTTTTAAAATATATGTCAAAGGGAAATTATGGCAAGATTCTCTTTAATGATTAAATAATAAGGTGTTGACTGCTTGTCACTACACTGGCTAATTGGGATGTTCATTCTAGGCCCTTTATTACGTAGCACCCTTTGAATTAAAAGTTAGTTGTTTACCGGGTATATTTTTATTGTTACTTTCTGGTTGGCTTTTAGTGTGTATTTATGTGTGAGTTTCAGAGGAGGGAGGTATTGATTCTTAATAGGGACACTTTTAAAACATTCTAGAAAAAACAAGGGGAAAAAATACAGCATGTATGCAGATAGGTTGAGATCAATTACATTGGTAAATGTCTCAGTCCAAACGCTAATACTACAAAAATATCCTTTGCATAGCTTCTCTCTCTCTCTGTCTCTCTCTCTTTCAATCTCTCTCTCAGTGGAAGTCCCCAGTGCAAGTTGCATGAATAATGGAAAGCAATGATACTAATGCTACTTTGTACAAAGTAAAACCTCATAACAGTAACTATTGTTCAGTGATTTAACTAGCTCCATGGCAGTAGGTCATTCAAATAGCAATTCTTCTCCTACCAGAATGACTCCATTGCTCACCATTCTGAAACATATAGAGTAGTTGTTTTATATAGCTATTGGTCCTAACTTAAAGACTTGTATTAGAAAACATGGAGAATCTTAAATAATAGAGGAAGAAGAGAAGGAAGAAAAAAGGATTAAAATGTGGGCTGGGCTTTCAAAAAAGTAACTGAAATACCACGCTAGAATTGTCCAACTTTGAAAATATATAAATTGTAAATCATTATGTTTTCAAACACTCATATGTTTGAATTTTTAAATGTTTGTCTTAGTCCCAAAAGATTTAAAACACAGCTGTGGCTGGGTGACAAGAAAAAAAAAAACCCAGTAAAATTCTATACTCTTAAAAAACAAAGACTATTTGTGCTCCCCTAGTATAAACTTACGTTTATTAAGGCCAAGTAGATAGACTAAAGTATTACCATGGGGCCTACTGTCCTAAAACTAGCTTACCTTCCCTAGCTTACCTCACAGGTGGAGTTGGAATGAAGAATGAAGAATGCATAACAAATTATACTAAGACACTTGCCATAAATGAAAATACTGTCAACATGAATTTAAATGAAGTATTCTCGTATTGGTAATGTTATGCTTTCCATTGCAACAACAATATTTTCTTATGAAACATAAATATGTCAAACAAATGGGAAATGCTAAAGTTTTAATAAATGATCATTTAATCATCAAACACAACCCAAGCATGTACACAAAAACTTTTAAAGGAAAGTCGGCATACAGCCAAATTCCTATAGGGACTAGCAGGGAAATGATCAAAAAATGAACATGAAATAAGGCTTCCTGTAAGAAGGTCTATAATTCAAAATTATTTGACTCCACTGTCAGGGAAATAGTTGAAGGATAGTAAACTGATACAGTTCTCAGTCATTTTTGTTACACAGTCTTAAATGTTTGCAACGGTAGCATTTTACATGGCCTTTTGTGGATTATGATGTCTGTCATATTTGAATCAAAGTAGTACTTTATGACATAATCGAAACAAAATTATTTGCCATTTCTCCTGAGTGCAAAAAAATTTAATATTTAAGAATTAAATAAAAATTATGGGAAAGTATTCTTTTACAAATAAAGAAATGAAAATAGAAACATGTGACACAGTTTATCTGACAGTTGTACAGATGTTATTATAGATTTAAAGATTTTCCAAATCCCAAGTAAAACAACACTGCTCTAAATCCCGTTGGACTTGCTCTTCTTACTAAGCAGGAAATATCAGAATGTAATACCTGTATAAAAAGTTCTGGTCTAAAACATATGAAATACAGTCTCCCAATTTAAGTTTTAATCATAATTACCAATTTTGATTTTTGGCATCCTGTAAAATTTTGAATATTTTGCTGTCTTTAACATATGCAAATAAACCACGGGTGTCTAAAATCAATTTTGAAAAGTTCAAGCAAATGAGTGTGTCGATGTAGTGTAAAAGATAAAAGAACATTTTCACTGTATCTTTAATTTAACATACCATGATTTCAGGATTATAGGAATTCAGAGAAGCCTTTTGGAATCTTAAACAGACTCTCCAGGAAGTATACCTACATTGGCCAATTGCTGGAATCCCTACACTTATAAATTGGACATTTGAATAAATGGTATAAAGGATACTATGTGAAATAAGTGAGAATATATTCATTTAAATATTTGTCACTAGAATCCAATTTTGATCAATTTAATGCATTCAAGTGCACAAAATTAAAGCAATTGGCAACCTTTTACTACACTTTCTTCAAACACTCTTTTGCCAAATAGCATTTCTTAATCTAGAAAGTATGTTCTTGTTAAAGGAAAATACAAGAGTGCAAATATTTTTAAATTATTTTATATTCTTGACTTCTTGGTTCAGAGTTTCTAAAACTGACTAAAATATACTATCAAGGGTTGATTTTCTGATGGAAAAATGCTCATCTGTACACATATTGAACTATACACCTGTTGTTTATTGGTGTCATGAGTACATACAATCAAATAAATACAAGCTGTATAGCTGTATATCAATACAATTGAAGTTTATAATGAAATTGACACAAATTATATAGCTATATCTGTTTTAAGATATAAAGTAACCATATTATGGTTTTTCCATGACATATGGACCTATTTATATGGCATACACTAATGGAGGACAAATACGTTGAGAAAAGAAGTTTTACCTTATTTGTAATTCTCAAAAATATGTTTCTACAAAGGATTCTTCCCTTGTACTTCATAACTCCATTTACAATTAATAGAATTTATACTCATGAAGTAAAGAACCTTGAGAGCATAATGTTATGGTTCTTTAAAAAACTCAAATAAAATCCTGGCATGCACCTATAGTCTCAGCTAATCCAGAGGCTGAGGCAGGAGAATCACTTGAGCTGAGGAGTTGCCAGCTTGGGCAATATAACAAGATGCTGTCTCAAAAACAAGACCAAAATATCCTTAAATGAAATCATATTATTCAAAAAAAATAAAATGCCTATTATTATCGATAAGTTTACTAAGTGAAACTTTAAAAATGACCACAACCTTATGAGTTTAACAAACGTTAGCAACTGTTATAGTTGTGCTGCTTCTTTTACATTTTAACCTAATACAAAGTCTTACATTTTACAATGGACTTAAATATATATTATTTTAACTCATTTAGAAGATATCAGTAAATAATATTTTGAGTGATATTAGAATTACTCTAATATCAATATATGACAACATTCTATTATCAATACCTGACCACATAAGCTACCTTAGAATGAACCGTTGCTTGTGAATTTCCATTTCTATAGATTTTTTCCTTACACTTTATAATATGGTAGCATGTTTATTATCCATTAGCTTTAAATTTCTGGATTGTTGGTTATTATTTAGCAAGATCGAACTATATGTAGCTCTTTCTTTTTCTGATCACTTTTTTTCCACCCTTTGGAAACCTTCTATGCCTGAGATTTGAACTTGAGCTAGTTTGGTAGGTCTCATTTTCCTACTGGAGTGCCTTGTGGGTTATTACCCATATGTGGGTTTATTTTCGTGAGAAAATGAAGAATGTTACTCACTTCAAAACAGGAATGAATAGAGGCCAAAGTCATCAAATATTCCCAACCTGTGCTTTACAATTAAGTGAAAAACTGAAAACTGTTATTCTTATTTGTCTTCCCTAGAGCTGTGAACACTTGGTGTAAAGATTAATATCAGCCCCTTTGGTTCTTCCTCTAAAAGCCTAAATGTTTATTTTCAGCAACTGTATTCTTAACTGATTGTCCATATTTGGTCCCAGATCTCCATGATTTGCATTTTATTCTGAATTTGCATTCATATTACGTCCCATAGAAACTCTTTAAAGTGAAGTGTGTTTATGACTATTATGAAACTCTGGAAAATGAAGTTTATAATGAAATTGACACAGCTGTCAAAAGGACAATGAAGAGAGCAATTTGACTGTAAACCCAGAGTTTCCTTATTCCATCTCAACTTGTAAAAGGCTTATGTCTCTTCTTTTAAAAATATTAGAAGCTGAATGAATAAGAATTTCTTTGACAATAAACCTCCTCTTAATGTCTCCATAACTATTTGGATGTGTTCTTGAATATTAACTTAATTTGATAGACAAGCTATAATTAACTGTGACCTGTAGTGTTTTCTGTTATTCAGAGATTATTCCTTAGCAATTTGAAAACTTAATTTCAAACTAAATGGTGTACAATGTCTGAAATTCTAAAGGCATGCTTACGCTATTTACATGAAGTGGAGTGTTTGTCTACAGAGCTTCAAAATGGAGATACTTTAGAGAGGTGGAGGAATACTTTTTACATACAACATCCTGGCAAACTAGCTAGCGCAGGTGGGCTCTTTTTGGATATTTTTCAATATATAGCCTTCCTATATATTTGCTGCATATTAAAATTTTTCTTCCTAAAGGAAAAAAAAGCTCTGTGTTTCATAGAGAAATTCATATATGACATTTTAAACCTACACATTTCATTGATCATAAAATCCAGCCAACACATATATAGAAAATTTAAAATAACAGCAAATAGGTAAGGCGCTATTTGCTATTATGCTTCAATCAGAAGAGAAACTTTAGCGGTATAATTAGGCATTGTGGGTTTAGTTGCAACATTTACTTGAAAGTTCCCACCAGATCTGAAGTTGTTTTAAAATCCACGCTTGAGAATATTTTAGTGTAAACAATTTGTGATAAATCACCATTGAACATTACTTTCATTTAAAATTGTTCCTTCCTAAGAGATGCAGTGTCATGAGAAACCACCCTGCCCTTCACTCTTGAACATATAAATTTATTATTTATTTACATTCTATCATATACATTATTTGTGGGAATTTTACTATAACTCTACAGAGCATATGGAATTCATCTTCATGAGATAAGGGTGGCATCTCTGCCAATGTGGTATAACCCTAAGTAGATAATAAGGATTACCCTCAGACTGCAGATAAATATTATCTCTTATAGAGTCATTACATGTTTATATTTCATATCTCCAGATGCAAATGTAGTTTGCCATTTTCATTTTAATTGTCATAGTTTTCTTGGCTCTAGCTTCTAACAAAGAGAAACAGGAATTTTACATTTTGAATTGAAATTGATGATAAATTAATATGTTCAAGAAAAAGAAAGATATTCAGTTGTAGAATTATTTAACCCCCTTCCTTTCTTTCAGTCTGCTTTCCCTGTCCTTAATGTGTTCCAAAATTTTCTGAAGAATGTTGTTCATAAAGTTTATAGCACTATTTGTGTATTTGGTGGCTTGGCCTATTGTTTCATTATATTTTGGGATTTTAAAAGCTGTGTTTAATAACAAAATAAGCAAGAAAAACATCTGAGTGATTATGTCCTGTACTT